ATACTCAAGGACTAGTATTTGACTAGTCAATCTTTAAGTTGTGTTGTACCTTGTGCTTTAAGAGGAGTTCCCTTGTTTCTTACACTTTCTAAGAGTTAATAAGGGTGTCCTTGTCTTTTCACCAAGAGCTAGTATTGTAACTTAAACCTAGAAGACTTCTTCATTTCATCCCTTGCAATTCCTAGAAAATATCTCTACCTTCTCTCTAGAAAAGAAGAGTAGCTTGTTCTTCAAGCCAAGTGAGGCCTTTGTCAAGATTCCAAGTTTTGCTTCCAAGATTTAATCTTTCATCTATTTGGGCATCTAGAAGGGTAAGATCTAAGCTTGTCTAGTCTTTTTGGTTCCATCTTAGTTGTCTTTTTCTTAATGGTGGGATCTTTATGATCTTTTGGTTTGATCTTGAAGTGGGTTTGGCTAGTGAGCTTAGTGGAGAGCTTGTTGTGGTGTAAGAGAAGTCGTTTGGTCTTCAAGAGGTAACCCATGCTCTACAAAACCTATTTTGCTTACCTCTTTGTGATTTCTTGGATTCTACTTGTGTTTTGCTATGAAATGTGAGAGTTTATGCATTTATCTTGTGATATTGCATATCTAGAGCTTGTGTTTAGGATTCCTTTGTGCCATTGCTTGGCATTTTCCTTGGTTCAAGTCATTTTGTTGCATTTGGTGAGATTTGGCACGTTTTGGACTTGAATTTGTGTTTGGAGAAGAAAATCCCCGAAGGGATTTGTTGTGGAACAGGTATGTTCCCGCGGGTGGAACGGCGGGCGGGGCACCACCCATCAGCCTACCCGCGGGTACACAGCCTCGTGGGATATTGTTCCCACGGGCGGGACCACAGGTGGGGCACTACCCGTGGGTTCACCCGCGGGTACATGGTTGTGGTGATGTTGGGATTTATTCCCCGTGATTTGGTTGTCTTGGTGTTTGATCTTTTGGCTTCCCGATGTTCTTTTGTGGAACTATTTGAGTGTCTTCTTTTTGTTTCGTAGGTCTAGAACTATGTGGTAGGTATCCATGTAGGATCTTTAGTGTCTTGATTCGTGCTAAGTGTTCAACATTGTGTTTCGTTGGACCAAGAGGTGTCTTGTGTGTTCCTCGGAACTATCTTGAGTTTCCTCGTTGTTAAGCATGCTAGTTCGTTGTCTTAATACTAGCGTGTGTGTGGTTTGTACCTTCCGTTTGGTTGATGATAACTTGTGTTATGCATCGTTGTTGTTGTGGGTTGTGACCCGTTCCTTGATTGAGTGTGTTTCATACCTTCCTTGCAATCCGTTGATTGATTCGTGTGAGTGGTGGTGCGTGTGTGGCTCTACCTGGATTGCACGATTAGTGGTATGGGACACTAGTCACCAAGGTATTGCAGCGGTCCTCGTGGTGGCCGTGACGTGATTATGGAGTTGTGGCCTGAGTGATGGGTCCACGTGATTGGGGGATAACATTGTGTTATCCGGGCATGTGTTGCCGTGATTGGTGGTGGTTCGTTGGTTGTTATAGGTGGGGGACGACGGTCCTGGCAGAACAAGGTTGGACTTGGCTGTACAGGGGATCTTGGATGTAATGGTTGGCTTGAAGGTACAAGGTTGGGGGTAGCCATAAGGTTGGAACAGGGCATAAGGAAGGCATACCAAACTCGTGATGGGTGATGTTGCGAGGGCTTTTAAAGCCGGTGTTGTGTGATCTTCTCTCGTGACGTGTGTAGTCACGGAGACTTGTGGTGTTTTGGCATGTGTTGCCGTTGGGTGAGTCTTTATCCTTGTGTGTGGTTAACCTTTGTGGTTGGGATGTGTTCCCGGTGTTATCCTTGTGAGTGGTGAGTCTTGTGTTGTCTTTCGATCTTGGCTTTTGACTCATATATATGTATTCCGTTTCGAAAATGGTTTTTATATCATATATCTACCTATTTATGATACTTAACGGTATTGGTGGGTTACCATCATTATTCGCTGACCGGGCGTCGCCCCGATGTTTATCTTTGTATCTTTCAGGTGATGTGTAGTCGAGCACGATGTCTAGAGCCTGGTAGCTTAGCACCTGTATCTTTAGACTGCGTTTTTGTGGCCTGTGCGCCAATGGTTTTTGATTGTTTTAGATTGATGTTTTTTTGGGATAGTTGTATACACTTGCAGATTGTCGCCTTAGCGTTACCTAGTGGGGTGTTACAAGTGTATATCAAATCAAGAACATCGGAACTATTAGACTCAACACGTGCTAAAGGGAAACGTGTAGATTTTTCCAATTGACACGCTGAACATAAACTGGAATTACAACGAATAGTAAGACTTGAGCCACTAACCGGACAAGACTGGAGAATTTGACTAAGGACACGCTGATGAGGGTGACCCAAATGGTCGTGCCAAACCGAAACGGAAGCACGAACGAAGAAAAACACGGAAGGAGACAAACTTGGAACAGACACAGTGTATAGGCCACCTGGATTACTGCCCCGTAAGAGGATTTCCTTGGTGGTGATATCTTTCACAATAAAAAATGAAGGATGAAACTCAAAGAACACATTGTTATTTGTAGCAAAACATCAGTGTTGCGAAAATCGCGCCTAGGTGCTAGGCGGTCGGCCTCCTAGGTGCCCTAGGCGGTCCCCAGGCGCCATGCGATTTTTTCAACATTGCAAAACATTGAACAGATAATAAAGAGGTAGACAGGCCAGGAACATGAAATATATTAGACATCGTGAAAGACGTTGAAGGGGTATCAAAAGTATCATGACCAACATGACAAATAGAAAGGAACATACCATCACCGACACGTAAAGTGTCAATACCAGTGTACTTCTCCAGGCAGAAAGGGCAGCTATGTCTGGAGTTGCATGATTTGTGGCTCCAGTGTCCGTAACCCAAGTATGAGAATTTGACAAGGTTTTAGCACCTAAACCATTCTGAAACACCAAATTAGCCTGAGAACCCGGAGCCCTGAATAGCGCAAAAAACAACTGATTCCCGAGTGATCGAAACTATTACAAATTTGACACTGTTCATTAAGGCGCCAAAAACAATTGACTCCTGTGTGACCGAAACCATCACAAATTTAACACTGAACTTTAAAGTCGCGTCTGGCATGCCGCGATGTGTGGGAGTGACGGTATTTTTGACGCTCCTACGGCATAAGGTACGCTTTTGCTTTTTAAATTCGGCTAACCTGTGTTTTTGCAAAGTTGCACGTGAACACTTGATTGTTGTTGCTGGGAATTCAGAAAGCACGATTCTTCTTCTTCAATTCATTCAGACTAATGCGACGTCTCTAGAAGAGAGTTAACTTCTGAATAAGTATGAAACGTCTCTAGAATAGAGCTAACTTCCGAATAAATACGAGATTTCGACGTCAATTCGCTGATGATGTTGGTCGACGAACAACACTTTCCATATTTTTATTATTTGTTTCTTTTTGAAGAATTGTAAACTTTGTCCATGGAAACCCTAGCTAACTGAATGAATTGTATTGAATGATTTGATTACAAATGTGCAGATTACATGTATATATAAAGAGAGTGTCTTCAGGGGATAGGGAATCATAATCTAACTCAAATACATAGAGAACTGAATGAATTGTATTGAAAGATTTAAATCATTTAATTTCAATATGCAGATTACAGGTATATATAATACATAGAGAATTGAATGAATTGTATTGAATGATTTGATTACAAATGTGCAGATTACAGTATATATAAAGAGAGAGTTTGAGGGTGACTGAGATATTGAATCATAATCTAACTAAAATACATAGAGTCCAAATAATTTCCAGTAATCCTCACAAGAACTATATATATTAAGCGACACATTGTGGCTATGCGATGTATATAGGTATATGATATTTAGACAGATCGAATCTATAAACAAAGCCACCAACTCAATCTAATACTGCTCCGATCCTCTTGTTTTGGCAAAATATTCACACCCACGATTTTTGATCGGATCATCAATCTGTTCATTTTTTGTTTCGTGTTCAGATCGGTCAGATATTGCATAACTTTATCTTGCAGGATAGACCATGTTCTCTTGCCCATTTATTCACAAATTATAGTAAGTGATTGTTGGTGCCTCATTTACCTTTCATAATTTATTTTTCCATTGGTCTTATAAGTTGTAATTTAATATTATATTATTAAAATGTAAAGCTTCTTTTATATATATATATATATATATATATATATATATATATATATATATATATATATATATATATATATATATGCATGCTCAATCACTACTTATACAATTTATAAAAATTAATAAAAATTATGTAAATATCTTTTTCTATTTTAGGAATAAAGTAATAGAAATTCCCTTAAAATATAGACTGGAATATAATTCGCATTTATTTTTAAAACAAACATTTCAAGCAAAAAAATTAATTTCAATCTTTATTTATCTCCAAATATAGTAACAGATATTACTAATAATTCATGTAATTTATACTGAGGATATATGATAATTCGTAACTGCATAATTACATTAAAAGGGAAGTAAGTCCTATTATATATGGAGTAGTATATAATATAATATTTAATAAGAAATTTTAACCAAAAAAGAAAAAAAAATTAGAGCAGTTTTCAAATTTCAACTTTGCTAACCCTACTATAAATTAACCAGTCGGCGTTGTGTTCAGGGAGGGTGTCACAACCCTGGAATTCGAACAAGGAAAAAGAAACAGAGATAGAAAAATAGAAGAAGAACAAATAGAGAAAAAAGAGAGAATTTGGGGAAGAAGCTAGGGTTTTAATTCTTAATACAAAAAGCATAGGAAATATCTTCCAAAATTCAGATAATATAAATACAACTAATCTAAAGCTTCCAAAAATCCCTAACAAACTCCGGATCCTTCGCGCTTGGTCCAGCTCACACCAACAATTCCAAATCATCTCCTCTTGAGGGTTTGTCTCAACCGCTAGGCTCAAACGGCGTCGTCTTGGTGTTTATTCAAAACGGTCACCAACGGCCAGCATCCTACGACGTCGTATGAATAAGTTCTAACAGCTAACTGGTTCATTTGCGAAATGACGTCGTGTTGGTCCCCTGACTTTCAACCCTTAGAAACTGATAAAACTTCTTCTTCTGATCTTCACTTGCCCTTCCCACTTTACTGTTTCCTTCTTTCATGTTTAGGATCATGACATTGCCCTCCCCTTCATTGGATCCTTGACCCCAAGGATTAAAGTTTGGAAATTGTTTGATCACATGATGATAATTTTCCCATGTAGCTGCCTCCTCAGACAAATTTGCCCACTGTACTAGGATCTCCACTTCTGCTGCATTATTTCTCTTCACCATTCCCTTTCCCAAGGCAGCCACTGGACGAGTTAGGACCATGCCTTCTGCATCAGTGGTAGGCAATTCCTCTTGAGGCTCAACTCCAGCTCCTACCCCCTTTTTAAGTAATGAAACATGAAACACACGATGTATGGCAGCCTCCCCCGGAAGCCTCAACTTATAAGCTACCTTTCCAACCTTTTCAATAACTTCATAGGGTCCATAGAACCTGGAAGTTAGCTTGATATTGGACCTGACAGCCACAGAGGTCTGCTTATAAGGCTATATCTTCAAATAGGCCCAGTCCCCCACTTCAAAACTCCTTTCACTTCTGTGTCTATCAGCTTGTTCTTTCATCCTAGCTTGTGCTTTAAACAGATTTTCCCTGAGTAATGCTATCATTGTGGCCCTTTCTTTGAACCAATCTTGACACTCTCCTTCTGTGATTACATTAAAAGTAAGGGATGGAGGTGCATATCCATAAAGAGCCTGGAAAGGTGAACACTGCAAAGAGGTATGGAAGTTTGTGTTGTACCAATGTTCAGCTAAGTGTAACCACTTGAGCCAAGCCTTAGGTCTATGAAAGACCATATATCTTAGATAGGTTTCCACACACCTGTTCACCCTTTCTGTTTGTCCATCTGATTGAGGATGATAGGAGGAAGACATACTCAGGTTAACTTGCATCTTCTTAAATACCTCCCTCCAGAATTTACTGACAAAAACCCTATCCCTGTCATTGACAATGTCTTTGGGAACCCCATGGAGTTTATAGATGTTTTCCATGAACATTTCAACCACCATTTCAGCTGTATAGGGATGGGCTAAGGCTAGGAAGTGACTGTACTTGGTAAACCTGTCCACCACCACCATAATGACATCTTTCCCATGAGATTTAGGCAAGCCTTCAATGAAGTCCATTGAAATGCTTTGCCAAGCCTGTTCAGGAACTGACAAGGGTTGCAGTAGCCCAGGGTAAGCCACATTTTCCTCTTTATACCTTTGGCATACATCACAAGTTTTGACTGCCTGGATCCCCTCTCTCTTCATACCCTTCCAATAAAACAACTACTTAAGCCTATGGTATGTCACCTGTTGCCCAGAATGACCTCCCATAGGAGAATTGTGCATCTGATTCATCAGTTTGTGTTGGTCCCAGAGGGGTGTGGTAAAAGTCTAGAGGGGGGGGGGGGGGGGGGGTGAATAGACTTTTAAACTTTTTCGCGAATGCAACAATTGCTAAGGCAACAGAGAGATCAAGACTCTTAACTAGATTGTTAGAGTCTTGTACGCAGCGGAATAATTAAATACGAGTTGTGTGATTGTGTCAAGTGTATCCACGTGATAGCAGTAAGTAAATAAAGCAGTAAATGACACAAGGCAATTTATAGTGGTTCGCGAGGTGATGTAATCCTCCTACTCCACTTGCTCTTATCAGCCAAGAGCAATTCACTATATCCACCACTTCTTGGTTCCTAGATACAATGAATTTCCGTGATCTAGTGCTTTGATCACTAAGCCCACACTAATCACGCCCAGTGCCTCCAACACTGCTGCTTCGGATTTCACAGCTCCGTGCTACTTTCCAGGATTTCACAGCTCCGTGCTACTTTCCCCCCGTCTTCCACGATCCGGTCGACGTATCCCGTGATCTGGTGCTTTGATCACCAAGCCCACACCAATCACGCCTAGTGTTCTCCAACACTGCTGTTTCGGATCTCACAGCTCCGTATGACAATCCAGGATTTCACAACTCCGTGCTACTTTCCCCCCGTCTTCGACGTATCCCGTGATCTAGTGCTTTGATCACAAAGCCCGCACTAATCACGTCTAGTGTTCTCCAATAGTGTTGATTCACTTGTTTGTGGAAAAACAAGTTTCACTGACTTTCCAACTTTTGAGACTTCTTGAATGGATCTTCAATATGCAGGAAGTCTCTCAATGATGAAGAATTTAACACTCTTGAATATTTTCTCTTTGAGCTCTCTGAGTGTTTTTCTCACTTGAATATTTTCTCACTTTTGAATACTTGTTCGTATGTACTGCTTGTTGCTTGTGTTGGAAGTGTGGAAAGTGAGTTGATCTGCTTTATTCTTCATCCTTTTATAGCTGGTCTTGAGAAGTTGTCCGTTGGAAAAAGACAATCTCAAATTTGAATTGTAGATCTCAAATTTGAATTCCAAATCTCAGATTTGAATTCTTGTATCCTTTTGCAGAAGATCTGTAGCTTTCTCAGAGGATCATATAAAAAATGATATCTCTGATATTTTGGCCGTTGCTTAGCATGTGGTCCATGTGAAGAGACTTAAAATATTTCTGATGCAGATCTTGTCTTCACGTGAAGTCTTCTTAAAATAATTCCGGTGTAGATCATGCGCCTTCTGGGACTTTCATCTTCTGTGTATTTTATTCTCTCTGTATGGCTACTTATGAAGTGTTTCAGCCAATCAGATCTCTTGATCTGGGTCTTATTTTGATGGTGAGAATTCAATCCTTGATTGAAACTTCTTCTCCAACTTCAGCTCTTACTGTATATAGCTTGATGAGACTTCAGCTCTAACTTCAGCTCTTACTATATATATAGCTTTTGAAACCTCTGCTATAACTTCATCTCATACTTCATATTAACTTGACTTATGAAGACTTTGACTTTGCAAAATCTCTATTATTTAATTGATTTATTTCGAAACTGATCTTGGAACCTCTGCTCCAACTTAGTCTCGAAACCTCTTTTGAAACCTTGCACCAACTTAGTCTCGAAACCTCTTTTGAAACCTTAGCTCCAAATTCTATTATTTAATTGATTTCGAAACCTCTGCTCCAACTTCACTTGAATTGATTTCGAAACCTCAGTTTCGAATTACTTGAATTAATTTCGAAACCTTCTTTTCAAACCTCAGCTCCTACTTCATCTTTTGGAACTGATTTAAGGCTTCTTTATAAAATTATAAGGAATGAGTTTTGAACCTAAGACCTTGCAATTTATACATTAAGCTTTCATCCATCTCGACTATACAAATTATTAGTCATTATAGCATTCCTATTGATATACTACTTTCTTTCCATAGATGCTTGATCTTCAAGATAACTTCATGAATTTTGGTTTGCTTCTCGTTTCTTCGTATGAGATTCATCAGTATGACTTCTTCTTTGAGTTGGGCGTGTGGGCTTATTTTGTATACATATCATACGCATACATCTTCTTCTTCGTATTTTTCCTTTCTTCATAATTGTTAATTTTCCTTTCATGGTCTATGACACGCCTAGACTTAAACAAATAAAATTGGGGACTCTAAAATACAATTTGGCATATCAAAATCTATTACAATATATTCCTAACTGTTTGTTCCTCAATTCACCTGTGCTGCCAATTTGGCATATCAATTTAGTTCTTGTCATTTTTCTCTTTTGTTATGCGTTTTACATGCTTGTGTTTTTAATTCACATACTAATTACAAGTTAAGATATCAAAAACAGATATAGACCACTTTAGGAAATTAACATAACTTGTACGATCATAATAAGGGAAAATACTTGATAATTTCGAAACAGTAGTTTTACAAAAAGTTTCGAAAAACATAGGATCAGATTACCTCTTTTGCCTCTTATCACTTCTTCCGTTCTTCAAAACATCTTTGACGTGTTCTCTTATCTTGTACACATCATTCTTAATACGCTCACAGAAGAATTCTTTGTTGACTTGTCCGGCAAGGTAATTTTCATATGCTTCTTTCAGAGTTTTTCCCGGTAGAACTCCAGCTTCGATCCATTCAATGCATTCATTGAAGTTTCTACCGTGGCCAAGAGAATTTCCTGTGGTTCTAGTGAGTTTTTGCAAATCAAACCACATATCCATCTTCTTTCTCTTTCTCTGTTCTTCCTTATTCTTTTCAGTTACCCAGTGAGCTACTTCAGCTAGGGATTGCTTCTTGATCATGGCAGGTGCGTTTTCTTTGGTCCATACGATATATGGTATATCGGTTTTGGAGCAATTGAACCAATCATTAGATTTTCCTTTAGAAGAACCTGCACCTAAACCATAGTTAGAAAATTGAGCAAAACCCAAACCACCTGGAGATGTTTGTTGTCCACGGCCTCGGCCTCGGCCACTTGGTGGTGTAGCTTGTGGTTGCCCAAAAAAGTATTCTTGTTGTTGAGCCGCCATATGACTGAGATATTCTTCCCCCCTTTTGGCTTTATCAGCAAAAAAATTAAGAACTCGGGTATCTCGCTCTTGGTTGGCTTTCACAATCTTGATTCCTTCACTGGCTACGTCAGAAGTATTCTGCAAAGTTTCCAACTTCTGAGTCATGGATGATAGCTCAACTTCAAGTTGATTGATTCTTCGTTCTTGATCCTGTATGGCCTTCAGTTGCCTCATACGACGTTCATAATTGATCTTCTCGGCTTCTTCCTTTTCTTTCTTCAAGTTTTTGATCACTTCAACCAAACTGGCAGTGATATCAGCCTTCAAACGTCCTTCTGCTCTTTCGATCTTGGACTCCAAAGATATATGCTTTTCAAAGATTTGTGTGAAATTTGACCTTGTGTTGTCAAATTCTTGCATCGCCATATGTCCTTGATCCTTCAAAGTAATTCCGATTTTGTGGCATATTGTATCTCCAGATTCGGATACTTTGGCAAACAAAGTTGTCAGAATATCATCTTCATCTTCTTCAGGCAGGTGGTGTGTTGTCCAGTTTAGATTATGTAGGGATCTGAGAAACTTTCTTCTTGAATCTGCTAGAACTGAAGTTTCCACAAGTTGTAAGCTTCTTCCTTCAGATGATTCGGCCATGGTGGTATTTTCTTGACAACTGGCTTCTTTTTCAAGATTTTCTCCTTTTGTATTGACTTCATCTTCTCCTTGGTAATTGTCAATATCTTGAGAGAAACTTGGATTTGAGAGAATAGGCTGCTCAGACAATGGTTTGTCTTCTAGTGGGGATTGGAAGTTTGTAGTAGCTTTGACAAAGACATTTTGTACTTCCACTTCAATTAATTGTTCCCCCCCAATTAATTCTTTATTCTCATTCACAACTCCTTCTCTTACTGGTTCTCCAATCTCTTCTCTAATCTCATCTCCAACATCTTCTCTTATTTCTTCTCTGACCACGTCAACATCATCTCTAGCAGAGTCATTCAATTCGGTTTGTGGACCATCAATATTGCTCAAAATTTGGTCATTATTTGATTCAATATTTGTCTGTGTTTCGGCTTCAGTGACAGGAATATTGACCAAATTGAAATCGCCAATCACAGCAGTAGTTTGGTCACCATCAGCAATATTTAACACAGGTGCACACACAGATATAATCTCTTCTTCATTCCTTTCTCTTAATGCATCAAGAAGATTATCAGCAATATTAAGAGACGGTTCACCTGGATTGTGATGAGTGTCCACAATAGATTTTTGCAATGCAATCTGTAGTTGAGCTTTGTTGATCTTCTCCAATAGAGCTGGTGAGATTCGAGTTACGTTTTCTTCGGCCACAGCTGTAACAACTTTGCCTCTTGCATTTTTCTCTTCAAGTTTTGATCTGTAAACTTGATCGATATTCATCTTGAGTGCCTCTAGTATAGAATCTGTTCCACACCACTCCAAGGCAAATTCTTCACTTCCTATCAATTCTGGAGTAGTCTTTTGGATGAATGAATGATATTTTTCAGTTCTCCAATTCATCCATTCTTGGACTCTGTACTTCTCGTTCATCAAATCTGGATCATCTTGGATAGTGTTGAACACTACCAGTCCGGCAATTACTTCTCCTGTTGATTGGCTCGAAATTCTTCTTTGCAGCTCATTGGAAACTCGCACTTCAACTCCTGCTAGTTCCATCCGTGTTGTGTCATCAATACGTTCAGTTTGCAAATCCGGATGACACACATTCTGAGCTTCGTTCTCAATCACACCTTGGTACGGAATTATCGTCATGGCTGTGCTCGTGGCTTCTTGATCTCTGATTGTCGGGTTACTGGACCCCATAAAATTGCTTGCAGATGATGCGACTCTGTTGCTTCTAATTTGAGATCCTTTTGATTGAGGTGTT